CTTCGCTCGCGTTGAAGCCCTTAAATAAATATCTATCCCTTTAAGAACCATTTATAACCCTTTTTCCAATTAAAATGCCTATGTCCTTTCTCAGGCTCTAGACTATCTGTGTACCAAATTTCATTTAAATAGGTTCAGTATTTTTGGCATGAAAGCGAGACAGACAGACAGAGTTACTTTCGCATTTATAATATTAGTATGTATTATCAACATTTTGACGTTTTCTTTTAACAAATAAGGAAACAAGGATCGTTTTATTGTGTTGCATTCGTGTTTGAAGGCTATTAGACGAGCTGGCGTGTCGATAGCGTTTATGAAAGTTTCACGTTAGTTATACCCCCCACTGCCTCTGGTTGCCAGCAGTGTCGGCCGTACTAAAGACCGCTATCGCTTGGTTCATTGTTAATTGCACGCCGTTATTCTATTTAACGGCCGAGTCCAGAGGAAAAAATAAACTGCTCGATTCATTCCTTCGTAAAATAATATTTTCTAATATTGAAAGTCATGAAAAAATCCGGTCAATTGCGAGTCGAACGCGTACGTCGAGAGTTCCGTGCCTACCCATTATACAACCATAATAAAATTGGTTAATAATCACCACCGATTTTATCACGGTTGGATAGATTTAGCAAGCTGAAATTAATACCAGATACTAAAGTCTATAGTTCCTAGTAGGTATATATGTTCCTAGTACAAATCAAGGTTCGGAGTCAACACGATAAAAAGATATGGGCAAATTTATGGCGAAAACCCAATTTACCTTAATTTTCAACTTTTTTTAAGGACTTTTTCCTCTATTCGTGTGGTATCTTGCTTTTTGCCAAATTCTGTGATTATAGGTCACCGGAAGTGTCATATACATTTTCGATCTAAAATCTATAGGGTACTTCCGGTTGACCTAGGATTTTCAATTTCGGTTAAAAGGATTTTACAGCACAAGTAAAAGAAAAATTCCCATTTACACCGATTATACACCTAATAGACATAGGGCTATAGATCTTAGTATCTGGCATAGATACTTGGCAGATCCACCGGTTCCTGAGAAAATCGGGGATGACACACGGACAGACAGACGAGAGAGTAATCCTATAAGGTTTCCTTTTTTTACCTTTTAAGGTAAGGAATCCTAAATATGAGTCAAACCATTGTACGGTATAGAAAAAACAAATATGCTTATAAATAAAACCGTTATGTAAAAAAGCAACATACTATTCACGTGATTACCATGTACTTTTAAGTAAAGCGGAGTTAACTATAAGTCGACTGGTTTAAAAAAGATGAATATATGAGTAATATATTGTACGTTATAAACGGTGCAAATAATTAAATAAATCGATCAGTACGGGGTAAGATTAACACGTGATTTTATCCTGAGTAACACTAAGAACTAAGATATAATGAAAAATATCCCGTAATTCAACGATTGACCAAACCGACCGACGCATAGTACTTTTGCAGTCGTAAATCTAATATATCGCTGTGCAGAACAACTAACGAAATAACAACAAACATCGTACAACGGCGAACTGTTGTAAATTAGATTGCATTAAAGTCAAATGCGGCCTGTTGCTGTTCGCTCAATCGATTACAATTTAAACTTCGAGCTCGAACGTTAGTTACGTCGCTTTGCATGTTCACGTAATAATAATGTTTTGGTGGTTTTTAAACGAAAAACTGCACGAGACAATAGTGTTATTTCACCATGCGTCAAAGAAAATTCAGATACATAAGACGATTTAGTATCACGTTTTATTTCATTTTTTAAGAAATTGGCAATCGAACTGACGGTACACCTGAATGTAAGTGATAAGTCCGCTCATAGAAATTGCAACACCCGTATGGTTGCAGATGCCTTTTAATAAAGCGACGAACTCACTATTCTGTGAGGTCGTGGTACTTACCCAGACGGATCCCTACCAGAGTTACGATTACTCCTTTCCCCTACTTCCACTACTACAACTACACACAGTTTTTGTCAATATGAAGGTCATTCATTCGTTCAATCATTTGACCTCAGATAGTCCAAATGCTCGTTTGTCAAGTTATTAAAAGAAAACGTCGCTTATAAAATAGAGATAATTATTCAATGTCTACATTAAACTGAAACGGTGTTTCACTTAGCATAATTCACTTCTCCCGAAGTGCAGCATTTGAATACAAAGCATTTTTAAAGAATTCAAAGAAGTATTTAAAATGCTAAAACGCTGGCAGACTAATCCTGAAAGTATCGCGCTTTTCCCATTCACTATTAACTAATTAAAACTTTAGTTAAATCGACCATTATACTTTCAGAGATAACGATAGGTTAACCTGCGACTGAGGCTGTATTTGTGTTGACTTTACTGACAACGTAACGAATTTGGGTCCAGAACGAAGCGTAATACTCCAATGAAGTAGTGTAGTATTAGTTTTATTGCTTCCTATTGGTTTTCCTTGTGACAGACATTTCGCTTAATTGCGGATACGCGGCGGTGAGTGTATGAATTTATTTCATCAATACTTATTACATTCTCATTTCCATTGATTGTTTTCTTATGAACCGGTGACTCAGCACATTTTGATGCTGTAAACAATTCCATCGGTGCCGGTACTGGAAGTTTGCATTTTTAATAATGACCTAATTGTAAGCCCCAAATATAGAACTAGACTTAAATCGCGGACAGTTATGTTCACAATGTATGGTTTTTAAGTTGACCGGTGAAGTGACGAACAAAGTTATCGAGTAAATAACAAAGTTAGGTTATTTACTCGATACAAACAATCCTAAAACATGGGAGGCTATGGAGGCCTACGAAAAAATATTTCTAGTAATTTCTTGCAGATATTTATGAAAACGTTTTTTACACAATTCCACATTTTATCCTTTAAAAGAACTATTGTATTTTATATTTTATTTTTAACTATTGAAGGTATTTGGGGTTTAAGGTCCCGGTGCTTCGCTATACACCCCTTTTTCACTTGTCGAAAATATTTGACGAAATACGACGTCTATGACCAAGTAAAGTTCTAAATCTATTATGTAAGTTTAACCCATAGCTGAATGTACGAATTTTAAAGGTTTTTCGTGATTAGCTGTGCATTAACCAAACTTATTTTTTAAACTAATTATTAAAAATAAGGGTTTTAGATTATTTGTCTGTCTTCAAAGTTTACATAACACTTCATTCGGAAATAAATTAACGGCCATAAAACAATTTTTACAATTAATAGTAATATGTACTAATATAATAATACAAGTAATTAAGTAATTGTAAATGCATACTGATTAAATGGTAATACTTAATATCACGTGAATTTGAAGTATCCTATATTATGTGCGTAGGCCCCGAAAGGGAACGAATACAAATTCGCGTAAATGCCTAAGACAATTTTGCAATGTCTACTTTATCGTATGTGGACATTTCGTGAATTAAGTTAGGTACATTCCGCTTCAGAATAATTATTGGATTAAACACGGAGTTCCCTAGCAGTTTTTCTTTGGACTGATCAAAATTTGTAAATCTGTGGTTGATACTGAAATCAGTTCTTCAACTAATCCATTATGATAATCTCAAATTGAGTCGAGACATTTTGACTGTCACTTTGGCTACTGTTACTTTGTAGAAGATAATCCATTTTAAGCAATTTGAAACTCGATTTGCGACTTGTGCGATAGTTAAGTGAATATGGCAATGAATTAGCTCCAAGCATTCTACCCGAACCGATTGCTCTGATCGCTACCGCTCTAATAGTGAACAGTTTTAATGAATGGTTGTTTTTTATTTAATTTATTTAGACACTATTATTGTAATATCGTAGTTCATGAATAGTGAAAAATATCCTCAACATTGAAACATGAGACCAGGTTCAATATCAGTAGATCGAATCTTTTCAGCCTTCATAGCTTGGAGCAATGCCCAGAACTATCAAAGCTATATCTGGAATGTTTTGTTACGGTGTTTTTTTTTCTGTAACGTTTTCATTCCATTCTCATTGTTTCCTTTGTGGTGAAAAGTAATTATTAATTTGAACGAAATATTATTCTACATTGAACGAAATTAATTTCATTTAACTGCTTCATAAAGATGGGCTTGCAAATAGTTTAATAAGGAATTGTAGAAATTTTTAATTTCCTTTTATTCCTTAAAACAGTTATATTTATACGTTTATTAACATGTTGTCTCAATTAAATTGGAATTTTTTTTAAGGTTTAAATAAAATTCAACTATTATACTTTTACATTTTTTCCTCTCGTGTTACCTCATTTATCTCCTTTTAGAGCTTATGGATAAAACCAATATTCCAGGATAGCTTTATTACATAAATATGAATATAATTTGTTATTTATAAAAGTGGTTAAATGACATGGACAAATATACATTTGTACATTTATCAATGTAAGGTAACCGTAAATTTACAATTGCATTTGAACTTCTATATAAATTAACCTAAAGTACTTAATTCCTTCTTAAGAAATTAATACCTTCTTTAATTTTAAATTAATCATTATCATAATATTTTTAAATCCCTTGATCGATTTCATTTATAAACTTTTAAAAAACATTAAATATTAAAATGGATCACAATTCTTACTTATACTGAACCTATTATTGGTGAATGATGATGATATTAAGGTAGAACATAAAAATATTGCAATTATACAAACTTTATGGTTTATAGACGTTAAATATTTTTAAAATTTAATATTTTTAAATCCCCTGATCGATTTCATTTATAAACTTTTAAAAAACATTAAATATTAAAATGGATCACAATTCTTACTTATACTGAACCTATTATTGGTGAATGATGATGATATTAAGGTAGAACATACAAATATTGAAATTATACAAACTTTATGGTTTATAGACGTTTTAGTCGGGAAGTCGTCGAAAGTTCGGAATTAAAATATAATTACATGAAGAACAAAAAAGAGTTCTAACGTCCAAAATTACCAACCTAGAGAGTTAAATTTTTTGTACAATAAAATGTATGGAAATACAGAGTTATTAAATATTTTAAGCATAACTTTCACGAAGAACTTTTCTCAAAATTTTTCCGGAGGGGTTTCTTGGCAAATTACCTAAAAATTCAACATCGCTAATTCTCTTGTAAACGGCTACTCGATCTTCTACGAACTTCTTCAAGTCGACGGAATCTTTCTTCCGTCCATCTTTGACCACAACAAACGCCTTCGGAACTTCTCCCATTTTCGGATCAGGTACACCTATGACCGCTGCATCCAAAATATCAGGATGCTCTTTCAAAACACTTTCTAATTCCGCTGGAGCCACTTGATAGCCCTTCACCTGGAATAGTTAAATGCGTTATGCCTTTTTGTAATTTTAGCTGAGCAGGTTCACATGATGCTAAGTGAGTACCGCCACCCGAGGGTTGCAGATGCGTTGACAACCTTTTGAAAATTTGGCTCCGGCCACCTCACTCACCAGACAAAACGCGAAAGAATTATACTTCCACTTTACGCCGGTCTTCTGTGAGGTCGTGGTACTTACCCGGACGAGCCTGCCCATTTGTACAGCAGCCATCCAACAGCCGTGTGCCATGATAATATTTTTAAGTAATACATCAGAATATGCTTACCTTAATAAGCTCCTTTATCCGATCACAAATGGTGACAACACCGTCCCGATCGATAGAAGCCAAGTCGCCTGACCTAAACCATCCGTCATCGGTAATTACAGCTTTCGTTGCTTCCGGGTTGTTTCTATACCCTTTCATTATTTGAGGTCCTTTGATCAACAATTCACCGACCTGTAATTAAAAGTTTTGTGTCAATTCATGTTTCCTTAGTCATCAAATTTTCCGTAAACATATGGTTGAAACATTTTCTTTGTATTTTTTTTAGGTAGGAAGGTTGTTAAAGCGACCTTCAATTTATAATAAAATTAATCAAAATATTATTTTTTAAGATTTTATAAGATATATTATACTTATGAAACAATGTCATGTTAGAATTACTAAAAAAAACTTAGAGGCGATGGTTGATAGATATGAAGAAAATAAATCGAATTTAGTAATACATGATTTTTACTTTATATTACTGTTAGAAAATAAAGCACGTTTTTATCGTTTTAAAATCAATCAAAATCAAAATCAAAAATATATTTATTCAAATAGAGGCTTGCGCGCTCTTATGAATCGTCAAATTTTAAATAAAAAACGACATATGTAGGGTCGTATGGTACCACTATTTAATATTCTTAACACTATTCCTGAAAAAAATATGTGTAAAAAGTATGTGTGTACTTATGTACGCACGTAAGAAGTTATACTTCTTAGCGTAAAGACATTAAATGCTATTGATAAGTTTATTTAAATAACTTGAAATTATTGGTTAATATCAAAAAGTTGTTATTGGTTGTCAAGACTTGGTTATCATGCGTCATGTCCATAGATGATAAATATATACTGCAATGGTCATGTCACTTTTTGACGGTCGTTAGTCGGGCGCAAAAAAATTTAAAAATTTTACTCTCATAATTTTTCCATACGCATCAGAAAAAGTATAACTTCAAAAGAGATTTGCAGCATTATTTGAGATGTTAAGGCTGCCACGAATACTGAGTATTCCGCAGACTGCCCACAGATGGCGTTAACACGTTTAGCTCCCGTATAATGTTAATTGTGATGGCAGACCTTTGAACGCACGCATTAAAGTAAATGAAACTGACACTTACTGCATCAGGTCCCAAGTTTCGGTCTTCGGAATCGACGACCCGCAGTTGTGTATTTGGCAATGCTAGACCAACTGTCGCGTACTTTTTGCTACCTGGCGGCACGGTAGTCGCAATTGGAGATATTTCTGTCAGACCGTATATTTGTAGGAAGTCAACGCCAGGCTAAAAAAAAGTACGATACGGTTATGTTAAGTGAAAGTTTTATATAAATGCTTTCCTACCTTAAGATACGTGTAGGGTGTGAGAAAATTATTTTCCGTTTTTCTTTTCTGTGGTAGGTTACTTAAGTATTTCACTTTACTTTCACTGACGTCTTTGCCGTCAGCCTGCAAATTATTTAAGCTCCATCGAACGCTTATCTCGTGAGATCTGGCTATCCTTGATACGGTTTTATTTTTATTTTAATATTGGTGCTACGTAGTTTTAATTGTAACCTATTCTACAATTATACTGAGGAAACAATGTTGACTAACCTTTGACTTTTCCAATATTCTAAATATGTCTTGTTTCGGCAGGGGTGCCGCTCCGCAAACATACGTATGAATATTAGACAAATACTCTTTTTTTGCTTCCGGATGGCACGCAATGAAAGACGCTGCAAGCAAAAATAAATTAAATTCCATAAAACATTTATCTTTGAAGCCATGCTTAAAACAATGCTCTCTAGAATTTAATACATACTCTACAGATTAAAGATTCTATAAATGTTATTACTTAAAGGTTAAAGATTCTCTTTTTGAATACTCTTGCCGATACTGTACAAGAAACAACTGTTAGGGTGTTCCCGTACAATATTTGCATTCAAAACAACGTCACTTTTTTTTTCTTTCACACTAATCGAGGAACATTTCTTAATGAAGTGTGCACTGGTCTCGACAATTATAAAAAGCGACAATATTTCATCAAAGTTACATGAGACCTCAATTTCATGTCTTTCTATATCAAACCTTGGGGAAATTGGCTTGCAGATGCGTAGTCAACCTTTAAGAAAATGGACCCCGGCTATCTCATTCGCCAGATGAAACACAGCACTTAACACTTCCACTTCACGTGGGTTTACAAACAAACATTTGCGGTTTTTTTTAATAGATAGAGTAATTCAAGAGGAAGGTTTATATGTATTAACATTGCACCCGTGCGAAGCCGGAGCGGGCCACTAGTTTTTAATAAAGCAAAGCTAATTACTTATAATTATACAAATGAAAGCTTATAGTTATTTGTTCCGTGAGTAAATCTAATCACATTTAGATAGTTAAGCCTACAAAGTTATATGTTTAATAGTAATTACCCAATGGTGGCACAATATGTAAAATACTTGTTTTATGCTCTTCTATAGCATTCAGGAATGTCTTCGTTTCGAATTTTGGCAATGTAACAATTTTACCACCTATAGACAATTTGTGGAGCATTATCAGCGATAAACCGTACATGTGATAGAAGGGTAAGACGGCCATGAGCGACTCCTGATAAGAATCTGCAAATATAAAACAAAAAGTTATCAACGAATAAGTTTTGCGATAACATAATTATCATTGGCCCGTAACATTCATGGGCGGAATTGCTGCAACAAATAACAATAGCCTTGGTCCATTCTAAAAGTTGGCAAACTATGGTGTTACAGTTATCTTTTGCCACGTTTCAGCTTTCGCTGTCGCAATGGACAAGCTCGTCCGCGGAAGTATCACGGCCGCACAGAAGACCTCTGTGATGAAGAAGTATTATACTTTTGCCTTTCATCTGGTAGGTGAGGTAACTGACCTCTTTTTGGGCCTATTTTTTTTAAAAGTTGTAAAAGAATCTGTTTGCCCCAAGTTGTTTTAGATCTCCTCGGATGGCGGTAATTGCTAAACATAAAAGATCTCACAGCGACTTGAATTGCAAAGAAAAATAGTCCTATGTTGATATTATTACAATGGTGAAGTTGATGTTACGTATTGATGTAAGTATTAGAAATCGTTATGGTCCGTGCGTGACAAGTAGAAATATGTTTTAATGGATTATCTTTATTAGATGTACTGAAAAACGTGTGATACATCTTAAGTTATTCGCACATAATAAAAAAATGCGTTTTTTGCCCTAAGCTGCAGTTTTCCTTCAAAATTGGAACATTTTGCTGGTCTTTGCTTTAAAATGTATTTAATATCTTTTAAATGTATTTCACCATCCCTAATCTTATTAAGTACATAGCCAAATAGAAAAAAGAAATGGTACCTGTTGTATAAGAACAGTGTCTAATGCCGTCACCGCTTTGTTGAGCCAGATTGGTCACAACAGTTCGATGTACAAGTTCCACGCCTTTCGGCAGACCAGTAGTACCACTCGAATAAGGCAAAAGAGCAATTTCATCCAAATTTTTCTTTACGCTGTTTAAAATGCTGAAGTCTTCATTATTATCATCCAGTATTTCTTGGAAGGACATAGTTCCTGCCGGTAGGCTCTCTCCTGGGTTGGTTACTGCTATTATAGGTAAATTGATCTTTGCCATTTTGCAGGCTTCTTTCAAAACCCCAATTGTGTCTGGGGTGCCAATTAACAACTTCGCATTGGATAGAAGTAGCTGTCGTTGTACTTCATCTGTAACATGTAATGCTGCTAATAACTGGTTTTAAGTTGTTATTTGGGAAATTATACATATTAAAAGTATTTGCACTCCTGCCCTAACCAAATAGCCTTGCAATTCGTGAAGAAACAAGTTAAAAATTTACTTAAGTTAACATTTTAGTAACGAAAACTAAAATCTGAAGTCGATTTTAGTTAAATATCATACTCAGTATACATTTTCTATTCGGTTTTGAGTAGTACCAGACTTACTCTGACGTCTAAGGTCTAAGAGTAATGAAATTAATAAAAAGACGAACTCAAAGTTTATAGCAATTTTTTTTTAATTTTTGCATAGACAGACATGTCAAGAATAATAAAAGTTTTCGCGAGAACTCACAATAACTCAACGAGGTTTTATCAAAAACACTCATTTCTTTTACGTTAGTTTAAAAGATGATAATGTGATCTCTTTGAAAACATGGCCCAATACTGTAGGATAACATTATCCTGTGTTGTACATAAATTTCACGTGGCCAAACACCGAAAAACAATTATCTGTGGGGTCACACAAATACTTGTCTCAAGCGGAATCGAACTCGCGATTCTTGGCGCCGTCAGTACCTTGGCAACTCACGCCACGACGTCATCAAATTTAGTGAAAGGGTACTCACGAGCAGTGTAAATAGGGTTAATCGTAGTGACCGCCGCTCCAGCTTCCAGCGAGCCGAGCGTGACTAAAGCATACTCGGGGTTGTTAGACATCATGACGCAAGTGACGTCTCCCTCTCGAATGTCTAATTTGGAGCGCAACTTGGTTGCAAATTTACGAGAGTACTTGTGCAGTTCGTGAAACGTGTACGAGCGATTCGTAATTCCGCACACCTGAAGTATTGAAAAAGAAACTTTTAATAGCTGTAACAGCTTTTGACCAAGGAATATGATTGCATTGTCTGATTGAAAAGAAAAAAAATTACGTGTTGCCGCAAAGGACATGGTTTTGTTAGGTTAATTTGTGTCTTTACCATTGCCGGCTTATCTCCCCATTTGTCCAGATTCTGCCAAATGTAGTCGGACACCGTAAGCGTTGGAGGTTGTATTTCTTTGAAGGGTGATATAACGATGTTCTCGCGCGTCCACACATTGTTAGCGTTAACGTTACCGAAGTTCCTTACAAATTTTAACTTTAGTATGTTCCTCGTCGCGAAGTTTGGTCTTGCCATGTTGACTGCAATTAAACATGATAACACGTAAAAGAGGAATTGTTTTTTAATCCCCGACTATGTCAAATAAAACTTTGTCCAACATAATACAATAAAACAAGAATATTAAGTAAATTAGAAGGCAAAATAAATTCAAATAAAAATAAAAAAATGTTTGTAAATTTGTTTTGTATAGGTTGGGTAAAACAGCAGCCGTTATGTGGCTTATTAGTGTTATAAGAGTATTAAGATTATACCATAAGATAGTTACTATCACATTTGATACACTGTAAATAAATTAATCTAATCTAATGCTAATTTAATTAGGCGTTGTAGTTGCAACGTGTTAAGTGAGCTTAAAGCGCTATCAATTATGTATGTTATCAATTATCTGATAATATACACATCCTATAAGAAAGCACGAGCTTAAAAAAGTAAAGTAACAGCCTATACATGTCCCACTCCTGGGCAAAGGCCTCCTCTATACAGAGGGTATCAGGGCATAGTCCACCACGCGGCCCCACTGCGGATTGGCGGACTTCACATATTTTCGAAATATATTTTTTTTTGTTATTATTTCGAAAATGTGCAGGTTTCCTCACGATGTTTTCCTTCACCGCGGAGCACGTGATAAGTCAGCACTTAAAGTTAAAAACTTCATTGGTGCCGGCACCGGGGATCGAACTCAGGTTGCTCGAGTATATTGAATTAAAGGCGAGCGCCCGGACACTGAGCTATCACGGCTCACGTACTTAAAACTACAAAATAATTACTCACTGTGAAAAAAAGCACTCGTCGATATGTTTTTTAGGTTTTTATAATCTCAAAATTATACACTACACTTTAAGACACTACCTAATTAGTAAGCTAATTAGAGCAACATCATTTAAACTCTATGAATTTGTGTTGATATTTTTTATCAGTAATAAAAAAATCTGGTGGCGACAAAAAAATATGTAACAGTATCTCTACACATTTTAAGTGCAGGACTAAGAGTAAAACATAATTTGAAAAAGCCTTTTCAAATAAGATTCTTCTGATTTAATTTACAGAAGTTTAAACAAATTCTCCAATTCTTTTTTCATTACTGTAACACCTACATAACCCCAGAGCATTCGTGCTATATAACTGTGTATGTAACTCAAAAAATTACGATTTCTTAATGAAACAAAATCTTACCTTCACAAAAAAGCAGGAGTTTTCTATTATTGTCACCAACTTATTCCAGTACACAATGAGTAATTCCAATACAAAAGTACTTAATGAAACCGTAACTTAAGTCTGACTCGATGTTAGGGTCTTTTTCTTGTTTACTTTTGGCTTTCAGTTGTATTTTACCGCACAAACGCAACGTTTAATTCATCGCGGCAAATTAACGGCTCACGAGACGAAACTACTCTTTTATAATAGTTTTTTTTTTTAAAAACTAATATCAATTTACGTTTACGCGTACTCGGAGAGACTTATTCCCATCTTAATCATATTAATGCTTAGAATTTAAATTGCTTTTGTGTTTGATAAGACTGCAGTAATCTGTTTAGCTTGGTATACAACGCTCTTAAAAGCCAATGTTAAGTAAACAAATTTAACGTAACGATAATGACAATTTAAATAGAATATAATTAAGTTGTTATCCATACTCATATTGTAAATGCGAAAGTAACTCTGTCTGTCTGTCTCTCTTTCACGTCAAATCTACTAGACTGATTTAAATGAAATTTGGTACACAGTCTAGAGCCTGAGAATTGGAAAAAGGTGTTGTAAAGTGTTGAAAATATCTTCTACATATTTATTTTCAAGAAAGAAATTTATATTTATTTAAGGGCTTCAACCCGAGCGAAAGAAATGTTAAATATTTATTTAAGGACGCTTTGAGACAATCAACGAGGTAACAAAAAAGCATCGGGTACGATTTACAGTGTAGAATATAAACAGACAGACTGCATTAGTTAAGATTAAAAAAAAAGTATGTCAAATTATTCATTCTTACATTATATAAGACGCATTTGAGACATATTTTGTATCCCCCTAATACAAGGTAATATAACTTAATTAATAAAAAAAAAAAACGTCTTCAAATGTTTTCTGTTTTTCGTTTAAAAAACGCCGAATAATACCATCAAAGGTCTACTGCAATAACTAAACCTACAATGTGTTTTACATTCCCAGGAAACGTAAAATGAACCAGTGTGTTCAAAAACTTTTTTTAAAAGCATTTTTGTGTTAAAGGATATAAATTATTAGACACTGGAAATGAATTAGACTCTTTCAGAATTTGATTTATTGCATATAGTTTAAAAAAATATTGTCCCGCTGAGATTCACTGACCTGAGACGAACCGGCGAAAGAATCGGCTTTTTTTCTGTTTGTTGTTCTGATGAATATTGTTTTTGTGACAGACTAAAACAACCTTCATAAAAAAAAATCTAACAATACGAATCAAAATTGATTGATTCGTTGAATTGATTTTTCATTGAATAAGATTTTCATTTCATTCATTGAAATGAGTGAGACACGCTGTCTACTCTCTTAGAGATACAGTTATTGTGTTGATCTCTGCGTCATGATCAGATGATAAAACGCGGATGTTTTAATCATAAATGATATTCATTATCAATCGGTTACTTTTTTCGTAAGGCTGATAAATAATACTAAAAATATTTCTAACGATAAATTATCAATTGACAAACGCAACAACGGTTTGTTGACATTTGTGATGTTGATTAACCTCACAAATAATTGAAAATTAAATTTTTTTATTAGGCTAATTATTAATTATAATAAGCTAATTAAGAACCTATGCTTAAGTACTGGCTACCAGGGTCAAAGACTTTCTTTTATCGCTATGATTCAAACTAACCCCAGTTTACAATTCTATTACTAATTCTGTCTCTAGACGAATTACGCCTTTTCTATCAAAAGGATGCTGTTCAGCATCTTTAGTTAAATGTATCATGAAACGCTCCGTTCCTTTATCGCCGTTCTGCATTAGCCTCAGTCTTACAGGTACACGTCTGAATGCTTCGCCTACAACGAATGAAGCTCACACTACATTTAACAATTGCTACTCGATTACACTCGAAGGATGTTATTCCCTGAAGAGGCGACGGAGGACTTCATAAAGATCAAACTTGAAAATGGAGTTTTCGATACAATTTCCGTTCCGTTTTCTCTTCAAATTCACATTACAGTGATGTACGTCATAGTTAATATAGAATATTAAAGCTCTTTAAATTTTGCCTGAGGGCAGCTATCGAGCGAATGCATGGACGTTGGCGTTTTTTCCACTCTTTTACTGTGCTCTTTACAAAGAAATAAACTTAATATTGTCTATTACAAATGTCGAAGGGTAAACGAATACTATACTATTATGTGCAAAATATTTATCCATGTTTAGTATACCAAAACAGTGACAGTTATACACAAATTCTCAATATATCGTGCTTTCTTATTTATGCTTTCTATACAATTTAAGTTTATGTGTTTTGATGACTTCGTGGCGCAGTTGTCAAGGTATTGGCTCCAGCGTTAGGGGTCGTGGGTTAGATTCCCACACAGGACATGTTTATAAAACGCTCTTACAACACACGATACTGTAATCCTATAGTAAGGGCAACGTTTAAAAAAAAGTTTGAATAGTCACAAAAGTTATATGAATTGCCTTTTGTAATATAAAGTACATTAGACTTGTTTTAGTGATCGGCTCATTTAATTCACGTTAAAGCGAATAGACATTCTTTTGTTTTAAGACCGAAGAAATAAGAGACCATCGTTGCTAATGACATAAAGATTTTGCCGTTCAAATTCGATTAGCGCCTGTTGCCATTACTCCCAAACCACTGAACAAAATCAAACCTCTATTATTTATTTATCTATGCAATAACATGATTATGTGATAAAATTATCAGATATCTCAAATTTTGAAAATAAATATTCAGTTATGAGAATGTAATAAGTTGATTGTACTGCTTATCTCTCCACTCAAGTTGAAACATTGAAATTTGAAGAAAAGTTGAAAGATTTTCGTAAATTTTTTCGCAATTGTATTGCTTGCGTATGTTTATCAACACTAATTAAGAACTTCATTTACAATAGCGGTCACGTGATTCATAGCAGATACAAACTATTCCAAAACAAATCTTATAACTGAAGGTTCAAATATGAAAAGTTTGATTTGCAGAAATATCAACAATATTACGTCATGTGATGTCGTCATCACTCCATTCATGAAGAAACAAACATCCGGCGAATAATGTCTATATCAGATCGTTATTTTAATATAATCGTGACGAGAGACGATGGATTTTACCTTACGTGTATGAGAAATTGGTATCGCGTGTGAGTTAGCACGTACCGAATTTTGTTATTCAAAAATCGTATGTATGTTCGTACATCGCGGACGCAATGTCAAATATGTGTTTATAGTTGCATAGAGTTCTTCCTTGTTAGACCGTGGTTGATAATTTTGATATAAAAAAAATCTCACATCAGAAATAAGAAAATTTCTTATCCATATTGGCGTTTATAAGACAAACGTTATTTTTCTTAGAGAATTACGAGTCACATTAACATTTATAGCACTAACGAATTATTTAAGTTAAAAGACAATTTAGGCTTTTTTGAAGCATCTATAAATGTCAAGATGTGACGTTCAAAAAAGCTTTGAAGTTAAAAAAAACCGAATATATAAAGGTTTCCCGAACTTTATAATACCTATATAATAAAATTTTACTAATCCAGGAAACGAGTGAGTGCTGCACCACTACTTATAGTAATGTATACATGATTTAATTTTTATGATATAATATATTTAAATCAACTCCTGAACAGTATTTTTACCCAGACAACACATAGAAAATTAAGTAGGGCGGAGTCGATTGCTTAAATATGACTTAAGACTTGCCGCCTGAACTTTAGAATTTGATATTGTGTAGAACTAAGGTAATTCTGACGGAATGCGCTGGTACGAGGCGTAAGTTGATTTCGTACGGGGTAGCCGGCGGCAGAAATTTATTAACGAG